GTTTAGGGGCTTTGTGTTTAGGGTTTAGGGTTTAGGGGTTTAGGGGTTTAGGGGTTTAGGGGTTTAGGGGTTTAGGGGTTTAGGGTTTGCAAATACTTTGGCTTCATGCCTTCTTAGTTTGGGGCTTCGGTTTTCATGAGGGGCCACGCATCAAAACTCGTCGAAGCTCACCAGCCAGTGGACACGGGCAACTATCTCTCGGCCGTGTAGTTGCGCGCTGTGCCTTCTAAACCCCCCTCCCTCCTCACGCCCCCAATGGTGCAAGCGCCTGGAGCCGTCCAGAAAAGTAAACTCCGAAACTTAAGGCCCAAGCCGCTCCACAAGGGGAGAAGGAGGTATGATCACACGCAGAACCATTGGGGGTCTAAACCAAACCACCTCATGATTCCACAAAAATCTCGAGGCCCAAGCCATTGCACAAGGGCGTGGGAGGGGAGATGACCAAGTAGAGGGATACAGTTAAGCAGCGGGGAGGGGCCGAATAACACGGAAACAAGGTACCCTTGGTTTTTGGGAAACCCCACATGAGACGGAGACTACTGGAGGTGTTGATAAAGGCGTACGGATCAGTACATGGCTGTACGGACAGGTGTATCCATGGGTGTATCTGCCTTTCAAAAAGGGGTAGGTACAAAACACTGCATGTTCATATCAGGTTGCCAGTCACATAGAACTGCCTCACTACCTACTTGATGGCCAACCTACTTACACATTTTTTCACATGCAGATACAAGATGTAAAAACAAAACGTGTCTGTACGACAAGATGCTTAGAATCTGGCTAGCCAGCACTAGCTTAACCATCTCTCTATGCACGTCTCCTGTATCTCTTGTAGCGCACATAACCACTGAGGAAACGATGTTCGGCTGTACGATGCTACATGGCAGTCTGTTGTACATCGAGGGTCAACATTGGTAGATGTGCATCGTACGCACCTGTGCAACTATGTGCACACGTCTACGTATGCATATACATGTGCAAAAATGTACATGTGTGTGCTTGCATGTGTATGTATGTGCTTATGTATGTATGTATGTATGTATGTATGTATGTATGTATGTATGTATGTGTGTATGTATGTATGCATGTATGTTTTTTATGTCTGTACGCATGCATGCATGTGTTTATATATGTACGTATGTATGTATGTATGTATGTATGTATGTACACATGCATGCATGCATGCATGCATGCATGCATGCATGCATGCATGTATGTATGTATGCATGCATGTATGTACGTATGCACACATGCATGTATGCATGCGTGTGCATATGTGTATGTGTGTATGCATGTATGCATGTATGCAGGTAAACATGTATGTATATGTGCATGTATTTATGTATGTTTGTATGTACGTATGCATTTATGTATGTATGTATGTATGTATGTATGTATGCATGCACGCATGCATGTCTGTACACGTGTATGTATATAATGTATGTATGTGTTTCCATATGTGTCAATGTGTATGCGTGCAGGTATGTATGTATGTATGTATGTATGTATGTACGTACGTAGGTATGAACACATATGGAAGCATACGTATACATATATGTACACATACAGACATATCTGTAGAGATGTAATAAAACACTTAATGTTATGTACAGATGTGTTTGTACAATGTACGTCGGTCCTTGAGTGTGACTTTGCATCTAAGATAGCTAGTTAGCTCCATGCATGTACTCATCTTACTGCATGCTTTTCTGCGTGGAGGCTTCCACATGGCTATCTAGGAACCTTCAAGGACAGGACTTCAAGTGGGCAAGGGGGACGTGGGGTGAGGGGCGGGTGGTGAGGGAGGGCTGATTTAGCCAGGATATATGGAAGGACACAAAATGGCTCTGAACCCACGCCTGCCGGAAGCGCAGATATGCCCCCCCCCCCAAATGATCAGGAGCCATGTAGAGAAACAATGCGACGCCCTAAGCTTCAAGCCAATGTCATTCGAGGCCTTTCTGCAATGTCATGGCTTTTGCTGGCTGGCATGGGTTCAGACAGAGCCAGTTTCTTCCTTCCACTTAATCCTGGCTTCACAAACCCCGGTTAATTACATACGTGTCACCAGTTAGATTAGTTAGGTAGCTAGTTAGATAGATAGATAGATAGATAGATAGATAGATAAACAGACAGATAGAGATCCGCAGATAGACAGATACATAGATCAATGATACCTACCTAGGTACGTAACTACACACATACATACATACATACATACATAAATACATACATACGTATATGCATGCATACATACATACATACATAGCAGGCACACTGCATAAGCCCGTACTATTCAATGTCCCTGCAGAGAAGGACTTGCAAGTTGCAAGACCATGCGCAGGAACATACAAGTCATGTGCATGTCCACCGAGAGGTACATGCCTACGGAAGAATCGACGAAGGGAAGAAGAGAGAGAGGTCAACTCCTGGCAAGGAGATGGGCACTCGCGTTGTCTCCGCCCCGAAGGGTTAAGACGCAGACGGGGCATGGAGCTCCGAAACCGTCATGGCCCTGACATGCAATGCACCTGCAAGTATTTAGGGCTTAGGGTTTAGGGTTCAGGGTTTAGGTAAACCCTGAAAAACCCCAAACCTCTTCTCTGAGGACCTGGCTTGCACGAAATAGAAGACGCCGCCGTCCCCTTTGCGCAAGCGACATTACCCCCATGGCCCATAGCCCAAACCTTAAACTCTGGACCCTAAACCAAGGGTTGTGACTGAGAAATTTCGAGGCTTCGGATGCCACAACTCAAACGTAGAGTGTAACTCAGGGCCTATGGTCTAGAGATCAGAGTTTAGAGTCGCGGAGTGTCGGCTTTGGAGTTTAGGGTGTATGGTCTAGGGCTCAAGACTTTTGGGGCATAAGGCGTCAGCTCGGGCCCCTAGACCCTACAATCTGAACTCTGTTGTCTTGGAAATATCCTGCTGCCCATCTACTCGCCGATTCCGTTGCCACGATGCGCGCAAGCTAGGGGAGCCGGAGACAGGGAAAAGAGACTTGTATCAAGACGTCAGCTTTAGTTCAGGGTTTAGAGCTTCGGGCCTAAGCCCCAAGTTAGGGTTTAGGTTTAGGGTTTAGGAAAACTCTTATGGATCAGGCTTTGGCGAGCTCCCCGAATTCACAAACTCTGCGCAGATTCCTGGGTAAAAACCTGCGAGAAAGAAGTTCGACAATAATGGTTGGCTCCGAGCAATGCAGACCCCTTGACCAATCCAAAGTAAAACCCTACAGCGAATACTAAAATCCTCCACGGTCCTCCACGGAATGCTCCAAACGCCTAAAGGTCTCAAAACCCAACAGGCATTGAAACAACCGCTAAACACCCTAGCAAACCCATATCAAAACCCTTTTCGAAACCCAAGAACCCTCGAAGAAATCGGAAATCCAGAAAAGATCCCTTGTAGTAACCCTAAGAGGAAACATTACAGGACCGTTTGAGACCCTTACACCCTAAACCCTAAACCTTACAGCCTTACAGAGAACTTCGAGAAGCCTAAACAGGGCCCTGCAAGTAAGCGTTCAAAAGAGCGTTGGCAGCAACCTGCAGCTTCAACAGACCCTAAACCCTGCTTGAACGTTCATGGGTAGTTAAAAATGGGCTGAGGGTTCAGGCTTGGGGGTTTAAGGTTTAAGCTTGAGTAAGGTGACAAGCTTATCACCCGTAATATGGGACTTACCCACTTGTGACTGCTTGTAACTACCCATGAACCTCCAAGTGAACTGTAAACCCTAACCTTTCAAGGACCCTAACCCCGTCTCCCCATATGAACCCCTCTGCGAACTTAAAGGACCCGTAAAGGA